TGTCATCTAATCTAAATTGATATTATTAGAAGATATATTTTTTGTCCGCCTAAAATGGATAAATTCGAACACTACTCAACCGATTTTGAAATTTCAGGCGTGGGTTATATTTCATTTTAAAAAAATCAGAAAAAATGCAAGGTATCAAGATCAATTAATTGGTGGGTATGCCTAAAGAGTCTATCTATAGTCACTACATAGTATAAAACGAAGTCGCTTTCTGCTGTCTGTCCTTATGTATGCTGAGATCTTCAAAAGTATATAACGAATTTTGATGCGGGTTTTTTTCAATAGATGGAGTGATTCAAGAGAAAGGTTCATATGTGTATAACATGCATAATATGTATAGTAGAGAAACACTGATAATTTAAGAGCTTTCTAATGTTATTACGCCAATAGACACACTATTTGCGCTTGAATTGCTGGCTCAACCCTATGAGAAAGATCAAAATAATGTACTACAGTATTGTACACCTTAAAAAGTCTACAAAAAAGTTACATTTTTAGGAGTGACTAATTTTTGGGAAAGAAAGTATTTGGCTTTCTAGTACTCCATCTTGATACAGAAAAATGTGGGAATCTTCCAAAGAAAGGAACGAGGCAATTAATTCCAAAAGAGGTAACTCTACACATAGATCTTGCAAAGAAGTAACTTTCAGACACGAACTGAAAGAAAAGCCCTCCTGAAACAGCTACTTCCACATAAACATTGAATTACACAAAAGAACAATTATTTCGAAACAAATACTTCTGTTTAAAAAAATCTGTTTTTTCGGTAATCAGCTGTCGCCCCCATACGAACGACAACTCTCAGAAGTTGAGAAACTTTTGCGAGCTAAGGACTAACGAGGTCTTACCTTTTAACGTTTGATTCCTAACACTTTTATATAAACACTGAATTGAACAAAAAACATTTTTATCTACTCAGTTTGTATTCCAAACATTCGTTATGGAACTGAATCAGATATCATTCACAGGATTTCTACACAATATACTAAATGAAAGGTAAAAATTTCACTTACATGGAACACTGTCATCCTCACTGGTAGACATCGATATTTCGCCGTAAGACACTTGCCTTAGGGCTCTCAGTACCACTACCAGTGAGAATGACAGTGTTTCATCTCAGTGAAATTTCTACCATTCATTTAGTATACTGTGTAGAAATCCTGTGACGGATATCTGACTTAATTCGATAACTAATTTTTGGAATACAAACTGAGTAGAGAAAATGGTTTTTTGTATACTTAATTCAGTGTTCATATAAAAGTATTTGTTTCCAAAGAATTTTTCATTCGTGTAATTCAATGTTTACTGGCCATGCTTGGCATTCACTCGGCCAGTGAAATAATTTTAAATGTTTAAATAAAATATGTTTTTTGTACTTTTTCTCTGAAACTTTAAATTGAATGTGTGACACTTTTCTACATGATGAAAAGTATTAACTTTGTTTTTCTCATTGCCACGTCTGACTTTATACTATAACCTCAAGTTAGTAAGTACATTTTTTACCAATTTGTTTTACAATTTTATTGCAATGTTTTAAATTTCTTGGAGATGTCTTGATAACGGAAAAGCTCGACCATATTACAAAGAGTAAGTAGTCTTTGAACAACAGCCCAGTAAGTTTGACTGCATCCCCAACAATATTCCGTATTTCTCCTTAACTAGTCAGTCGAAACTACTTTTTAAATCATTTTCTGCCAGTCTTCTTCGGTAATATTAGATACTTCTTCTTTATCAAATTTTGGAATATCATTTTCACGCCTCATGCTTTGTGTCTATTTTCCCCAAATTAACTCGATCAGATTGAAAACACAAAAATAGGGGGGACGTCTTTCTATGATGTGTCCATACTTTTCAGCAATACTCTCAAGGACATACACTTTTTCAAATGGTTTTATCTATAAAACTTCAAGTCGTTAGTTTTTGGTATCTTCAAAATACACATTGTTATCCATTAAAAAACTTTGTATTTCATCTTTCCTCGAATTTTTATTCAGTACTTTGATGAGATGTCGCGAATAATAGGAAGCATTGTCAAGAACTATTACACTATTCGCATCCAAATTTGGGTTCAATGTGTTTTCAAACCATTCTTCAAAAATATTAGCTTCCATGTTCTTATGATTGTCAATATTGCAGTCCTCAAGTGATTAGTCGCGATCGTTTGTTTGAAGGCGTACACATTCTCGAACCATCAGTCCACCCTTTCGTAACTGTATCGTGAGTGTCGTACAAAGTTTCCTCCAAATAGAAAATTTGCCGTTGAAGAGTTTTGTCACAGCAGCTCACGTAATGGCCGAAAGTATTCAATTTCTTCCTTATGATTTCATTGTAGGACTCTCATTGCTTTTGTAACAGTCATATATTGTTTTTTTTTCAATGATTTCATTTGATACATATCTAAAGGTTTTGGTAATCCCGTATCACATCGCATATTTCGTTCATAAGGTTTGTTTTTGACTATTTTACGTACAGTTGAGAAAAACATTTCTGTCAAATCTGATGTTGTTTGTAATAGTTTGTTTCCCTCGAAACCAAACTTGAGATGTAGTTTCTTAGATACATTGAAACATACTTTCTGTGTTTGAATAATCAAACGCATCCGGATCTTATTCACTGGTACCTATCTGTTCTTCGCATTGTTCACCATCGCTATTGGAATCACTACACAGAAAAAAGTCTGCGTTGCTATCACACTCGTTATTACTATTAGTACTTGTCCACGGACGCCACATTTTGAACAGATAACAAAAATTTTAAGTAATTATAACTGCCTCAATATCGAATTTCAACACCAGTTTCTGAACTGAACATTGATGAGACAACGGTGATACTCATCCCCACATTATATTCGTCAGCGTAACATGAATTCAAATTTAATTTTATGACTCTTCAGCCAATCATAAAACTCGGTTAGTAAAAATTATCTAATACGAACCGCCAATTCTTCAGTCCACGCGGACTAGTTGGCAGCGGCATTATTTCTCTGTATTGTTTTTTTTGCTTTCAAGATGCCGATAGCTTTAACTATTCATAATACAGGTTATTTCGACTATAATTTAATTCAGTACAAACTGAGGTACTTGAAATGTAGGTACTTCAATTTGTAAAATTAGGTATATTAAGCATTGAATATGTAGAATATAGTTACTATTCAGTGAAAATCTCACAATAAAATGTTTTCTGAATAAGTTAGTTATGGATTTTCATCAAGTATCGGCCAATTCCATCATATATCCTACCACGTAGTAACGGCTACATCAATTTATTGAAATTTTGATGTATTTTCAATTCATGAATAGAGGCTGTTGACTGGAACCTAATTAAAAGTTTTCCAAAAATGCTTCTGGCCGTTGTCTTGACGTAATGTCTCTCGAAGTTTCGATCTCAATTGCGGATAGAACTCATTGAAAAGGTTTTGAATATGTTCACAGATTTCTAGAGTTTTTATGCATGCCGAATCATTTTGTAACAAACCTGCCGAATGCGCCGATGTTATTTTCGTAAAATGAAAATTTCGTTCTTCAGATGAAGAATTTCTCATTCCTCATTTCAGGTTCACATCGCTGAAATGTATTCTGTAAAATTCCGTGATATAGAAAGAAAGCCTTCAAAAAATCTTTTCTTTATTTACCTATTTATTTATTAATTTACGGCAATGCCTATGTTTTACAAAATAATTAACAAATTCACACGTATGTATTTAAGAGTAATTTAAGCTAGGTTTAAGTCATATTAACTGGAAATATCAAATCTAACGATCTAGCATCTTTGTGTTTCTAGACAATATTTATTTATTTATTAATTTAAGGCAATGCCTATGTTTTACAAAATAATTAACAAATTCACACATATGTATTTAAGATTAATTTAAGCTAGGTTTAAGGAAGAAATACATAAAATAAAATTGAAAGAACATAAAAATAAGTTAATGAATTACAATCTTTTGACAGTCTTTTTAAATGTTTCCAAAGAAGAATTAAAAAATTCTAAATCTACATTGTAGTATGTAGTTGCAAGTCTCAAAATTCTACATGAATGAATCAATTATAGATCCATTCCGGCTATAGTTGGTATGACAAAAGGGTACTTTTAAGATTTCCGAATTTCTTGTTCTTCTTGGATTCACATTTGAAGTTATAAGATCGACAAGTTCCGGGGAATTGATGCTACCATTGATTATTTTATGAATTAGTGTAAGACCTGATTCTAATCTACTATGAGCCAGAGTATTCAAGTTAAGAATGTCCAAAATAATTTTATAGTCATATTCACCAAAATGGTATCCCAGTTTATATGCATATATGGATCGTAACGTTACATATTGAAAATCAATATGTAACGTTACATTTAAAAAAACACTACTTTCATTTGCTGCAACTTTATTTCCTGTATATTCAGAACAATTGAAAGCAGCTATATCCTAAATTTTAATATTCACACACAATAATATGACACACGCTGAATATCCATAACAAATTCATTCAATTCAGACATATTGAATAATTATTCAAGCCTTGGAAGTGATCTATTCTTAGATTGTATCATCTATTGAAAGTTATTTATGGTACGAGTTATGACTATTTCGTTGGTGTTACTTTCGTATTTCAGACATAATTAAATTATGCTTAAATCGTTTAACGAAGAAATGCATCATATCAGGACAATTTGAATAGAAATTAATTAGTTGATTCAACGTTCAATCGCAGTTACTTCTTTTAGATTGTATTTACGAATCTAAATCATTTTCATAAATCACTTCCTGCATCATTTAGATTCAGTTTCGACAGAGATTGACGTTCCTGAAAAATTGCGTGAATAACCCGAAGCCCTGGCCCTAATACCTGATATTCTTTGTCATTCCTTGTTCATTCCTCATCATTTTATATAGGTCTCTCAATCATTAAACTCCCATCTAGATGGCGCACAGGTGAAAACAAGTGAAGAACGTTTTAACAGCTGCCTTGATACCTTGCTTAGTCGATGGTCTACTGTTTAAGAATAGAGTGTGCGCGCGCGTGTTGTATATTTGAATGAAGTACGATAGACGGCCTGCATCTAAGTTGTCATATTTTTACAAAGAATCTTATGTGTTACACATTCTTGAAGTTCTTGAGGTATGTGATTTATCAACTTTGAATCTAACCATACAATGCCCTTACTGAAAACGAAGTGCCAATGATCTAATCGCTTAGAATACGTTCAAGATTTCGCATCTTTGAAATACAAAACATTATTCGTTAGAAAAAACATTTGTGTTCAATGATATCAGAATGCAAACGTCAGATGATAAATCCAGTACCAAAAGTAACACGGATGATTCACTTTCCAATCGTAATGAGGTGAATCCTATGCAAATCAATATTGCCACCGCAATGTTACAAGAAAATTTACTACAAAGATCCATCCAGAATGTGGCACTTTCTCTGCAGACTGCGATGATGAATTCCTTACAGCAAGCTGCTCTTTTACCGGTTAATTCGGCAGCTGCAGCTGCACTGAATTTGCAAGCTTTAGAATCCTACTTCACCCTTCAACGTTTGACAACAGTATCGGCAAATGTCAATAGTACCTCTGGGAGAATTGATATTCTTAAAATAGCTGCTAGTACGGCTAAAATTGGCGAGGAAACTATCACCTCTGGCGAGGAAGCAATTAATAATACCAGCCTAAGCGAAGATGTTGATTTGGCTGAAGAAGTAGAAGAAGATCTGGCACTTTTAGCGAACGATGAAACAATCAATAACTTCTCATCTTCCTCGTCACCTGTGGATCCCAGCTGCTCCAACCTGATTTTGAGTGGTATTTATCCGAATTCACAGGGTCCATTACCAGATATAATTTCCACTTCAACATCTAATAATAGCGAATCATTGGGAAGGCAAAAAGGAAGTTCTCGGCCGAAAAAACAGTTCATTTGTAAATTTTGCAATAGACAATTCACGAAAAGTTATAACCTGCTCATACATGAAAGGACTCACACTGACGAGAGGCCGTATTCTTGTGATATTTGCGGAAAGGCTTTCAGAAGACAGGACCACCTTAGAGATCATAGGTAACTACTCGTTTATATTTGTTTTTCATTCAGTTTCGTTTCTATATCTCATTTTTTCTTTTTTTTCTCTTTTCATTCTGTCTATATCTCTGATTTCGTATTTAAACATACATATCCTTTAAACATATCCTTCTCCTCTGTACCCTAGATCAGTGAATTTTCAAAATTTTCCTAATCGTTTTTCTCTGTCAGTCTTTCATTCTGCTTTCTCTTCACTTTTTTCTCTATAACATGTACACCGCCTACCTCCTACGCCTCACCCCTTCTCTTATTCTATCACTCCTTTTCTCCCGCCTCCCCCCAACACTCTCTTTCTATCTCTAGGTATACTTCTCTCTCACTTTCTCACGTGTATTTGAATTCATTTTTCGTCCTTTTCTGTCTGTATATATTGGTAAAAGACTCACAATCTTAATTTTCCTACCGATATTTCAATATTTTTTTCATGAAGCAATTTTTTTATTTTCCATATCATTATTTTAAGATGTAATTTTCAGAATTGAATTTATTCTTCATCACACAATATATTGTTCGCTTGAAATTAATTTTTGAACTTGTCGACCGATTGAGCAGGTTGTGTTCTCGTGATAATGTGCGACCGTTTCAAGATCAATATAACGGACACCATGAAATGGCGAATTTGTCAACCAAAACGACGTCATCTTAAATTCAATATGGCGGATGCTGCAATATGGCGACTAATCGTTTCCATGGTAACACTAATGATATGGCTATCAGATGAAAGGGTTGAATGATAACAAATTAAATTTTTCCGTATCCGCTTCGCAAGTTTAATGAAATTACCCAGTACCCGCTTCTATGAACATAGCAAAACAATATTGAATTATAATCATCAATAAAGATATTCGATGAATAGGTAGGTATAATTTAATTTTATTACAATTGATTATTCTGAAAAAACTATTTTATTCATTTCAGTACATTAACTCAGTACGCTTCAATATGAGCTTGTTTTCAATTTTTTTTGCCATCTCAAAACAATCATATTGAGAAAGTTCGTCATCAATGAAAAGTGATGCTCAACATGTGTCACTTTGACAGACATCGATGAATTTACTGAATATTTTTTGTATTGGTGTGCGCATGTCCATTTACCAAATTTTTGTGTCCCTTTTAATATCTGTTCGTTTATGACATCAATAAAACTTCAATCAATGATATTTATAGTTTTTGAACAACTGGAACAAATGAGGGAATGGACTCATGAAAGGCAAGCATACTGAATTTTGAAAAAAAGTAAAAAATATGCCAGTTCGAAAATACACAGTAAAAAGAAAAATGTAAAATTACATAAAAAACGTTGAAAATGATGTGTCGACGTTATATTATGTTCTTTTACATTCCATTTGGTATAATGCACACTCGATGTAAATTTCATTGCAATATAATTTATGTAAATATAGTCGTTAAATTCGTGATACTTGTAAAATAACAAGAGTTTTTATGGAATCGACGTATACAAATTTAACTAATGTGTGAATTTTACTGTACGAAATTACACAAAAAATGTAAGTTTACCAATGAAATTTCGTTTGAGTTGCTCCAATTTTCTAAAAGTACATTGTAAATGTGAAATTTCTCGAGTAAGTTTCAGTTTCATATGTAATTTCACTTTCTCCTGGTGAAGGCTCACTGAACCCAAAAAGAATCAAATTTTCATTACTTCAATTGAATGTCCATCAACTGGAGAAATTGATTCCTACTCCTACCAGAATGAGATTTAAAATCGAAATGTGAACATCAGCGTATCCTTCATTCATATTCTTTAATAATAATGAAATATTCAACTAATTCATAATAGTATGAGTAAACGTAGAAAAACCTCACGAAGTCTATTACTTCTAGCAATAATCAAAATTTAAATGGGAAATTTTTATATTTTCATCAAATTTTCAGTTTCTTCCATTACTGTTTCATAATGAAATCATTGAAGTACTAACATTGTCATTATGGAATTAAAACCTCGTTAAACAATCATGAATAATATGCTTATATGCCATCCAGAACATTCTAATCTAAAGTCTGCAATTCCGATGTTGCGTTAATTGATAATTTCGTATTGAATAAACTTTTTGGTCCACTGAATATTAATTAAATACGTCAAGTGTTTCGGTGAATGTAATTTGTTTCCAACAAAGCTACGATTAACTCCTTACCCAACATTTCTAGTAATACGATGAAAAATAATAAAATTCTCCATGCTTTTAACAATCACAATAAATCATTGCGCAGTACGAGTTCTCGTACGAGAATGCATGTTTATGTTAATGTTTTCACACTCTTTCGACCCAACGTATAATAATATACATCGATTGTCAAGATTCCATTTGATTCCAATGAAAATGAGTTAGAAAATCTCCAATCATTGGAATGTGAGAATTTCGATATTTTCTCCGAAATATTATTTGAAACATATGAAAAATGTTTCTTGTATGTGAGACTGAAAAAGCAAGTAAATCCTTATCAATTTTGAACTACGCAAATGTAACAAACGCCTAACTGAAAAGGTTAGGAAGTTTTTGAAAAATATAGTTAATTGACTGAACGAAAGTTTTTGCTAACTTAGTTGGATGAAGATGAAAACAAAATATACAGCACTAAAGCACAGTAGATAATGATATTATTATTATTATTTTCATTTTTAACTAATTTCTCATTTTTATAAATGGTTAAATTACGCGAAAACTTTTAGAAAAAACTGTTTGGTTTGCTGTTTTTTACATTTTTGTAGCTTATCTGATAGCATAGAAAGGTCCAAAGTGTCTATTCTACTACCCACTGTAACCAAAAACGACTCTCACCCACAGGAAGACCCACCGAGTTGTCTCTGGTCTGGATTCTTGGCCACACTGGCCTGGAAGGCAATGGTGCTGCTGACTTCCTTGCAAAGGAGGATGCTGCAAGTAGCTTCATCGGACCATTGGCATTGCTTTAGGTTTTGCTAAATAAATATTAAACACCTGGATGGCAAGAAGATTCAAAGACTTCAGCAAAATCTTCCAGGATTGGCTCACTCCAAGGCGTTCATTCACCCTTCGAAGCTTGAAACCAAACAGTTGTTGGGCTACAGTAGGGATGAACTACGATGTCTAACAGGTCTTCTTACAGGTCACTGTCGACTGAATCATCATATGCAGAGACGCCTCTGTTTGGAAAATGATGAAACAGCAGAGCATATACTTTGTGCCTGCCCAGCTGCGGACCGAATTAGGTTTTCAGAGTTTGATAGAACCACACTTCCACTATCTGACCTGAAAGATCACTCACCATTTAAACCAATCGGCATCGTCAAGAAGCTGATTTTATTTGGTCGAGTTTGAATAGGTTTGAGCCACAATAAACCCTTGAGGGTTACGGTGAAGTCTCGAGTAGGCCCACCCGCTTTTGACCTAACCCTAATCTAACCCACTGTAACCCACGAAGGTTTGTTGTGGCTTGCACATATTCATACTCATTAAATAAGTCCGGTCTCTCAACGAAACCGAGCTGGTCATTTGATTCAATCTTTCAGGTTAGATGGCAAGAATGAAACTTTTCCAAAATTAAAAACGTGAGCTTTGCTGTTTCATGGTCTTCCAAAGATGTCACCCACTATGTTCTAAGATAACAAGTCTTTTCGTACTCAGTCAATAGTGACGTAAGAAGGCCTGGTACAATGCTGTGCTCTCTATAGCAAGACAGTCATTACGTTCAGAGCCAGTGTGGCTAGTAATTTTCCTATTCAGTAGTCTTTTTTCGCAGATCAGTATCAACTTCGTCGTAGCTTGGTGGAAACCAGGTGTTTCCCGAGTTTCTTGCGTATTCTAGAATATTTTATGAGGAGTTTTGAGTGTGACTTTCTTGAAAAATACGTGGGTTCATGTCTGACCAACATTGCACATTTTGGCGGTCAACATGGAAGAAAAAAGTGCTTTGGTCACTAAAACACATACTTTTGATGCAGTTTCAAACGTTCGGTTATCAACTCACTATACGGCATTCTTTTGTCAGGGTTATCTTCGTTAAATTCATGTTAACTGTTAACTGTTGTGGAGTACTGCAGGGTGTAATTCACTACAGACGCAACAATTTCTTTTGTTTTTCATCCGGGATAGATTTTATAAGTCTGCAAAAAAATTGAGAGATGGTTTGTTTTTGCATAATTCATATGTTTTTGGGTGTGCTGAATCATTTTGTCGTACAACGTCAGGTTTCTGTTTAAAAAAAAATCTGTTTTTTCGTTAACCAGCTGTCGCACCCCTACGAACGACAACCCTCAGAAGTCGAAACTTGTGCGAGCTAAGGATTAACGAGGTCTTACCTTTTAACGTGTGATTCCTAATAATGTATGTATCTATCACGTATAGTCAGTGAGCATACTTGAAGACTGGCTATAAATCAAATCATCTAAGAGAAAAATTCGTTCAGGCCAGTCTGAACACCCTACACAGTAGGTTAATGGACTGACACCTATCAGAAAACAACTACTCCCCTGGCTAATACCACGAAGGGCGTTGGATTATATCCGACAGGTGTCAGTGCAGGATTCTTCACAGAAGTTATTCCTGCCTATGCTGTTGGTGATACAACTTCCGCAATAGATTTTCAGTTATTGGAACACACTTGCAGACCGGTTTCAGGCTGTTTGGCCACTCGTCGGTGCCCACTGACTATACGTGAAAGATTTCTTTCCTTATACGAGGAATTGGGCAAATTTCGGATATGCAGTTGGTTACCTCGTTCACAGGCAGATGGGGCGACGACAAACCTGTTGTTTGTTGTAGTCTTCAGCTTAGTTCGAGGAATGATACTCTGACGGAATTCGATTATCAATTATCGGAAATCATCGACTTCATGTTGATGATATACACTACCTTGCACCTCCATCTCCCTGGTATCTTTTTCCATCCCTTCAATATCTTGATGAAATTGTTCACCTTGCTCTTTACTCACTTTTCCTAAATTTTCTGGAAAGTAATCAAGGTGAGAATGATGAAAATGTTTTCAACATTCTTTTGGCAATTTGTTCCTAGTTAGGGTCTTTTTTATTGCCTAAAAATTTGAAGGCAATCCACCCTTCTCTTTTGAGGATCCGTCATGGTTGTAATGAATTGTGGATCAGCCACAAACCGTCTAATATCTGATCCAACGAAACCACCTTCCTTCAACTTTGCCTCTGAGAGGACTGAAAACTTCGATATGAGATATTTGAAGCGATTTTCATCTCTTGAAAGTGACTTCACAATGTTATTCATCAATCTCAGGTGTATGTGAAACGGTGGTAGAAAAACCTCATGAAGAGGCACCAAAGTTTCATATAGGACGTTCTTCTCGCCAACATTAAGCTTTCTTGGAGCGCAACACTTCCTGATCCAGTGATTTGCTCGGTTTCTACTATCACAGAGACACAAAAAGCAAAGGGATTTGGAACCCCCAGATTATTGTCCGAGCAACATGCCCACTGTATCTTGCTCGGTTTCTACTATCACAGAGACACAAAAAGCAAAGGGATTTGGAACCCCCAGATTATTGTCCGAGCAACATGCCCACTGTAGTGTGGTCTTTATATTTTATGTTGCAAAGAATCAACTCCAGGTTCTTCTAGGTTTCCTTGAGGTGTACGAAATGACCAACAGGAATGGAAGCATAGAAACCGCCATTTTGAAGCAGAACTGCTCTAAGGCTTCTTTCGATTCCACTGTGCTGGGTCATATTAAATGAGTCCATCAAATCTCCAATAGTGGTACCTACAATAAATCACACTTGTCTCGTCATTCCATTTGGATTCCAGGACATCGACTACGGAGGCATATCTTCACTGGCAATAGGAGGTTGCATATTGATTGAGGATCTACGAGTCATTTCGAGTTGGGGTGAAAGTAACCAGGTTCAATTCAATGCTGCAAAAACCCAGGCATCGGTTTTCTCCAAGAAGATGAATGTCTCCGAGCCGGATATAAAAATGTCAGGACAGATAATTCCATTTTGTGCTTCGATAAGTCTGTTGGGGGTTAAAATGGACACCAATATGTCTTGGCACAATAATATCGCTGGAATTGCAAAGGTGCTTTTCAAAAGCTTGGAACATTGTTCCGAACCAGAAAACTGTACACACCACAGCAACTTTTGATGCTTTATAAAGCTCAGATCAGACCTTCATTGGAGTATTGTTCTCATGTATGGAACTTTGCCTCCTAATATTTGAAAAATCAGAAAAAGGACTGAAAGATATCCAGATATGGCTTAATCACAACCTTCTGAGTCTGAATGTGAAAAAAACTAAATTTATTACATTCACCCTATTACAGAATGATCAACCTGGAAATAACATAATCCATATACATGACAGAGAGTGTACTAATACAACAAATTGCAATACTCCAATAGTGGTACCTACAATAAATCACACTTGTCTCGTCATTCCATTTGGATTCCAGGACATCGACTACGGAGGCATATCTTCACTGGCAATAAGAGGTTGCATATTGATTGAGGATCTAGGAATCATTTCGAGTTGGGGTGAAAGTAACCAGGTTCAATTCAATGCTGCAAAAACCCAGGCATCGGTTTTCTCCAAGAAGATAAATGTCTCCGAACCGGATATAATAATGTCAGGACAGACAATTCCATTTTGTGCTTCGATAAGTCTGTTGGGGATTAAAATGGACACCAATATGTCTTGGCACAATAATTTCGCTGGAATTGCAAAGGTGCTTCTCAAAAGCTTGGAACATTGTTCCGAACCAGAAAACTGTACACACCACAGCAACTTTTGATGCTTTATGAAGCTCAGATCAGACCTTCATTGGAGTATTGTTCTCATGTATGGAACTCTGCCCCCTAATATACACTGAAGTTGCTGGATTCCATCCAGAAAAGAGCCATCCGCCTGTGCTTGTACAAATAACTTGTCCTCTTGGACAAAGTAGCGCACAAGACGTTCATTATTGAGAAAGCAATGATAGTTATGGCCTGTATACATTCAAAAACAGAAATAAAATTAAAATTGTATCTATTCATTTATAACTTGAAGTAAGCCAAAAAAACCGTTTTTGATAACTTAAGTTTTAGTTTTGCAAAATAACCTGATGTTTAGAAATTTTTTGAGTATTTTTTCAGTTTTCAGAACACTTAAATACACGGAAATCAGTTAAAAACATCCAGGCAGCTTTTCTGTTGCAGACATGTGTTTTTAACCAGCTCCTCTAACTCTAGCTACACTTTCAGTTCTTGACATTTTCCAACCAAGATATTTCAGGCCAGGCAGATCTATCTATTATCATGAAATCTTTCATTGACCATCCTGTCTGTTTCATGAAAATTATCATCGGCTCCGACGTATGAGAATTGTTTCTGTTTTTTCCTCTAAAAATCTGACGCGAACTCTTTTTGAAAATCTAAACGAAATGAAATGAAGCAAATTCTCAGTATGAATTCTTAACTGCATAGCCGATCACACGAAATCCTGAATTAGATTCCATTCTGAATTAATTTCTGTGAACAATTTTTTCTCTTACATATTATAACAAACTTGTTGTAACCTCTCATAACTCATTTTCGCACTGTTTCAATTGCGATTTATAATTTTTCGTAGTTTTCAATCCATACATTACTAACTTCGCAATCGGTTATCCAAATTCAAAATAGTAAAAGTCGTTGTAAAAAGAATCAAAATATTTGAATATAGGAGGTCCTCCTCGCATCATTCCGGGTGGAGGCCCTCTCAATCCCATCGGAGGTGGAGGGCCTCCTCGTCCCATGCTCATTTGAGGAGTCATTGCCATCACTCCAGGAGGGGGCCCCATTACACCTGGTGGTGGACCACCCATTGTTGGAGGACCTTGATCCATTTGTGGTGGGGCAAACACCTGTTCTCTTCCCCCTGGTGTCATGACTTGCTGAGATGGTCCGCCTACCACTCTTACTGGTCCCTGCGAAACAACAGGTACTCCTCCAATTCCTGGAGGCATGCCCCTTCCAGAGGTTTTACCTATTCGTGGTCCAAGAGCTGCTTCTGGAATAGGAACTATGGGCAAGCCCTCTTCAGGAAGTGGCGAGCCTTCCACAGTTATTGAGACAATACTCTCCCCTCTCACCAAAACGAACCCTAAAACTCGTCTCTCTTCTCTCTCCACTTTTGAATTCTTGGGTTTGATTTTATGAAATTCTTCATAATCACCTAGGATCATGTTTATATGTTTATGGAAAGCTTTGAAAGTTCCGGTAAATGTTCGAGAGTCCTGTGAAGTTACTCGTATCCTGTAGTTGAGATGAGCCATAATCTTATTATTCTTGCCGATGGTCATTTTGAAAGGTCTTATGAAGCGCCGTACAAGTTAACTAGCCAAATTTCTGCAAAACTGCTGATGAAACTTGAAAAATGGAAATTACTGTGCTCTTTCATGATTTTAGGTCATAACTGATTCGTTGAAATTTTTTTCCACTGCAGTTCTATCGTTATTAATATTTTCGGGTGATTTCGATTCAATAAAGTTTTTAGAAAACATCTCGAAAGCTCAGCATTAGCAAATTTCTCAGAAATGTTTTTCAAAAATTTTTATAATGTTCATTTCTCTGCTAGTTATCGTTTGAGAACATTTCATGAAAGTGAATTGATGCCTTGAATGAGACCTGACCATTCACCACAATAACTCAACTCATCTATTTAAGTATTAGTATCACTGGCATCTCATAAACAATCAGCCTCCAGTGTTCGATGGAAGGTTTCACACTTTAATCATTGTAGTGTTTCACATCATTAGTGTAAAGATCTTCGCCTTTTCTGAAGATAATAACATGTTACCGTCCTCTCAGACGTGAACTATTTATACAGGGTTAACCTACGAGCCAAAGGGTTTATATATGTTGCATTCTAATAAAAATTGGGGAAGAGGAATGATATTTTGGAATGCAGGTGATCTATATTTAATACATAGGATCTTTCATTAGGTTAGGTTAGGTTCTAAGTGAGTGGGTCTATTCGACTCTCCATCGCAACCCGCAAGGTGTTATTGTGGCTCACACATATTCACGCTCGACCAAACATACCCAGCTTCTTAACGAAGCCAATTAGTTTGTATGATGAGTGGTCTTTCAGGTCAGATGATAAGAGTACGGCTCTGCCGAACTCTAAAAACATGACTCGGTCCCCAGCGGGACAGGCACAAAGTATGTGCTCTACTGTTTCATTATTTCCTAAACAGAGGCGACAAAAACTGCCTTCCGACAGTCCGAGTCACTGCATATGATGATTCAAATGACAGTGACCTATAAGAAGGCCTGTTAGACATTGTAGTTCATCCCTACTGTAGTCCAATAACTGTTTGGTATCAAGCTTCGAAGGGTGAGTAAACGCCTTGGAGTGAGCCAATCCTGGAAGATTCTGCCAGAATCTTCTTGCCATCCAGGTGTTCAATCTTTGTTTGGCAAAACATAAAGGGATGCCAATAACAAGTTCTGGTCCGATGAAACTACTTGCAGCACCCTCCTTTGCAAAGGAATCAGCAGCCTCATTACCTTCCAAGCCAGTATGGCCAGGAATCCAGACCAGAGACAATCTGTTAGGTCTTCCTATTGAGGAGTGTTGTTTTTGACAATTTGCTACCAATTCAGACGTTGTTCGGTAGGAACCAAGAGCTTCCAACGCCGCTTGACTCTCTGGGAATATTTTTATTGACTTGTGTATGAGGTTGGATCCTTCCAACCTCTCCGCACACAAGTCAATAGCGTGAATTTCCGCTTGAAATACAGTCGCATAGGTTCCTAGGCAGGTGTATATCTCTGTCCTGGGTCTGCGACACCTGCACCGGACCCGGAAGGTGTTTTTGATCCATCGGTGAACTAACAACTATCTGTTGCTAATATTTATATCAACCGGAGGATCCAGTCCTCTCTACTCGGGAAGAGTACTTTATAAGGCAGTTCGTAGTTGACAGTTGGTAGCATGAAGTCAGAGGTCATTTCCAGAATGCTGTGACTTTCAGAGTCAACCAACAGTCTGTTGCACTCTGCATTAAATTGATTTGCATTGGCAATTGCAGTCGGCAATGTGCACAGGTCTATATGCAGTCCATCTCGCCTCTCTCTCCAGAAAAATGTGGTACTGATGGTACCACTGATGGTCAGACAAGCCTGTCTCTGTAAGCCAGAGAGGTTTGCCTTGGCCGTTTTCTGTAAAACCTTCAGCCACCAGGCAATTGCACCATAGGTGATCATTGTTCTGACAATCATCACATAAAACCAATAGATTTGATTGAAACCTGAACCCCAAATTCTACCACAAATCCTTCGACATGTCTATAGGGATAGTCTGGCTTTGTGTAACACTTTTTTCAAGTGAGCTTTCCAGGTGAGTTTTTAACCAAGGATAAAGCTAAGATATTAACAACTTACCAGCGGTTAAAAAATTATTCTTTGAAATATTATATGTATAAAAGATTTTTCAACTTCAATTGATTTTACATTGACCTGCATCAAACAATAATTTTATTGTAAATGGTTTCAAATGAATTCTATTTCATAGCTATCTATTAAAGATTGTTTGGTGTATTGTGTTATTATCTATTGTGACGAATATTCAGTGTTTTTCACTCAATATTGTCTAAATTCAGTTAATATCCGGTAATGAAAATTAAGTTTGTTATTTTTACATGTTACATTTTAATGTCATAGCTGAGCGAGATTAAAGTATTTTCCAAAATCGTAGTTACCGAAGCGAATAAAGCTAGTCACGTTTTTGTGTGGACTGCTTGATAATTAAAATATGTTCATGTACCTTTTCAATGCTCCATATATGAGAAACTTGACCTCATAGTTTTCATGACAGATACCAAATACACCAGGTTTTCAGTTTCTATATATCAAAATAAAAATTGGTGCAAACACCGTTCGTACGAAATCGTGCGAAGCACATCGTCCATTGCTCAGTATTCGTCCGGATTCGTAGTAGGTGAGATGGTTCTTTGGAACGGGTTTTTTAATTATTCTAATGAAGAAGTTTTCGATTTGGAATTATCGATATCGACGAAGTCGGCAAATGTGGGTGAATTCCATTCACGCAAAGTAAGGAGTTCGGTAAATTCTCTCATTTGAGATATGATCGTCAAATCGATGATGATCATCAGTTTTCTTTACATTTCAATACATTAATTTAACTATTTTCGCACTAATTCGCAATCAAATCGCAGCAGTCAGACGAAAACTGACGAACGATACGGGCCAAGTCGACTGGGTCCCTTATCGATCCCTGTGTTTGGATCGTTCGTGCGTTTTCGTGCGAATTCTGACGAACTGATTTCGCAAATTATCGCAGCTTTCCGCTCCCAGTGAATGAGAGGACTTAGAAAACACGACTCGTCATATGATGTTTACTTCTGGTGAAAAGGTATCAATTTTCAATGTTATTAAAACGTATTATCACACTTCGAATCTTGCAAATCGATTTAATTTATTGTCTTACGATGAATAGAGAAACTTGCTAATTTGAATAAAAGAGAGAAGAAAAAGAGAACATTAGTTTTCTTTCAATTGATGTGCCTATATACTATAAACGCTTTATCCACGGTGTTACAGTCATTTCACGATTAGTCCATCCGTCATATTTAAGACGCGTTCTAGTCCTAAGATATAATTTTGACTTCGGTGATTCAGTACTATTTCATCTGATCTTATAGCGCGAAAAAATAAGCATACTTATTCCATCCTCTCTTAACATGAATATCATTTATTTCTGCTAGTTCCTCAATTGAAACTAATGTAGTCATTTGTTGCCTGGGGGTTCGAAATCGAATTCATAATCTAATAAAAGCTGCCTGCCAATCCCATTATGAGTTATTTGTTTTCGGGTTAGTGGATGCGATTAAGAAAGGAGATACCTACCTGACCAGTTGTCCTTTGTGTATCAGTGGAGTTTTATGTTGTTTTGTTCTGTGTTTGATGACGTCTGAAAATTTGAATCATTCTGTTATGTTAAAAAATCAATTAGAAACTCAACATCACATCTGTGATGTTGAATTCCTAAATATTGAATAATCGTGTTTGATTCATCAGTTGAAATATCCCATATAATTTGATTTTCTGTGGAATAATGAAAGCAATTGTGAAAGTAATGGACAGAAAAAAAGACAACCTAGGTAATGGAGCCAAAAATATTACTATACACTCTTTGTTTCTTCACTCCAGGAATATGCAGTAAGGCAAGAATACCTATAGTGAACTGAAAGCGGTACATGTACGAATATCAGGGTTCTTGAATTGAGTAGCCTGGGGTAAAAATTGAAGTGTTGAAGTGGTGTGTTTTGGTTTTGGGTACGATAGTGAGCGATATTCCAGAACTGGTTCAATTTTACTTCATGTTTTATTAGAAGTTGCTTAGGTGTGTACAGATATCTGGTTCGAAGCAAAGTTTCAAGTTTCTGAGAAACTGTTTATAGTAATCTAGCGATGAAATAATTATCTAAAAGAAATCAACATAGCCTGATAATTCAACGGAAAATACTATGCAGAGCAAAAAATACTTCAAATGAATTTTGACATAGTCAACAGGCTGTTCCAATTTCTGTTGAATTAAATGCTTGTTTGCTGTTTGGGGTTTTATTCATAAGATGCAGCTAACACAACTTCATGATAATTGAATGGAACGGCTCCAGTCTCAGATGAAGGTTGCATTATTAGGAAGAAACATTCCAAAATTTTCAACGGAGATAATAATATGCTATGTATTTCTTTGTGAGGAATCTTGAACTATTATCTGTTGGATGATGCAATCCAATTTTCGTCATGGTATAGTCAGGAAAGTAGTTGTTTCCTGGTATGCATTTGTAAATTTTACTATGGTGAGGTTAGATGAAGGCTATGTGTATTACTTTCCAATTTGAGATATTGCTCGGTTCACTATCGTTAATGTTTTTCTTTTCTTCTTGTGTTATTGAGCTACACTCGAGCGAGGTGGTGCAGCCAGGAAACGACTGAGTCGTCTCCTCAAGAGCGGGGTACCTTATGAAACCACCCTAAACCAAATTCTTCAGCGGCGTACGCAAAATATGTTTCAGGTGAAGGAACAAACCACCCCATGAGTAGATTAGCAAAAGTTTACGGTCAAGTGATGATTCACCAAAACCAGAGGCGAAAAAGCCCTAGACGGTCGAATCTAAGGCATCGTCAGGTGTAGCTGACGTGCAAAAACCCTCATAATATGGAAAGGTTGTTGCGGGTATCCAGGTGGGAATCTTGCATCTTGACTATCCGACTACCTCATTAACGATGAAACAGCAGAGCACATACTTTGTGCCTGTCCCGCTGGTGACTG